ACAAATACAAACCATATTGAGAATTTTCGAATTTTTATAATGCACCATTTAATGTTAATGGAATAGATTATTATACATCTGAACATTATTTTCAATCAAAAAAATTCTAATATTAGCCTAATAATGAGTTTGTTAAGGAAAAATTAAATGAATTATATAAGAAAATATTAGAATCTCCGCCACCTTCGTCGCTGAATTTTTTTTGTCAGCAACCAGAGGTGAGACCGGTTTGGTTTGAGTTTTTCGTAAATTGGTTCTATTGTAGAAAAGCACAAACCGGTCCCATCCCTGCTGGTTATATGTTTTTCAAAATGAATATGTTTTTATTCTTTGGTAGTGAAAACCTCGATGTTTAAGCCTTACTTGCACCTGTAAGACTTTTTTTGGCGTGGATCACGGATAGACCATGGCCATCAAACTCTTAAGCGTCCACTTTCAGAAAAATGATTTGGCTGTCTATGCTATAGCCGAGACTAACTCATGCAGTAGGCCCATCCTTCCTGTCCATCCTAAAAGTAGCTTAGAACAATAACTCTATAAAAAAGTTAGATTTGTGATTTTTATATTTCGAACTAGAAAGTAAAGTAAAAATTACTGTTTGAAGCATAAGTTTTCACTCAAAATTCGACACACACGCTGTTGAAAACTGTTTCTGTCGAACTGCGAAATTACCGTAATCAAAGGACGGTATTATAGCCAAAAGCATGTGCAAGAAAATGTATCACAAACATATATGCGCAAAATGCGAAACTTTGTTCAGATGAAAACTTTTGCACAATTCTCTTTTTATTTACATAAGTTGTTGCGATTCTATCAGATCTCCATGTCGACTGGACTGCGCTAAAATCTTTTTGAACCCATGGACTCGAACTGGACTGGACTCAAACTTTCAAGACTGATCTGGTCTCGAAAAAAAGTTTTAGATTCATTCACTTGGATCGAGGAATAATCAGTAAAAACATGTTGTTTTTGTATTGTGAACTGAACTGGACTACTTTTTAAGAGTCCATGGACTGAAAAAAGTGTTTTTATGGGCCCTATAATGGATAGAATATAGAAAGTGACCTCTTTTGCAGATTGAGTTTTTTTGTCCCATAGCGCAGATCATAAACAGTCCAATAGTGGGGTACAGTCAAAGGTTGTGACAAAGTCAGAGGCTATACACTAACAGTCTCTGATTTTCTCTCAAGTAGCTTCCTGTGCTGTGAGCAAAAGGGTATCAAAACTAGAAAAGAGCTTTTAACCTAAGGAAGTGTTGGGAGAATAATACTTTTATAGACGATCCACATAGCTTTATCGAATGTACCACTCCAATTTTTTTTCCTCCTTTACTGTATTTTTGTTAACTTTATTTTTTCCGTTTTCTTGTTCGATGGAATAGAATGGTCACACAAAACACTCATAAACAGTAGGTTCGCTTTCGATGAGAAAAAATATAAGGTAAGAAATGACTTTTTCAACTATTTATTATTTCTGAAATCATTTCTTAATTCCATCAATAATTCACCTAATCTATTTCTACCAGATTCATTCTGTTTACCATCAATTCCCCAATATAAATCAGTTGGTGAATCTTCAATTAATATTGTGTCACCCGTATTTAATAATAAAGCTTTTAATTCTGGTTAAAATAAAAATTTATGATAAATTGCCTTTTCATAATAAGATCTTTTTTCAATAGATTAGTTTTAATTTCTTTATTCCATTCGGGATCGGCATATTCTTTATATTCTCTAACTAAACGGAAGGCATGTGAAGGTGGCGGAGATTCTAATATTTTCTTATATAATTCATTTAATTTTTCCTTAACAAACTCATTATTAGGCTAATATTGGAATTTTTTTGATTGAAAATAATGTTCAGATGTATAATAATCTATTCCATTAACATTAAATGGTGCATTATAAAAATTCGAAAATTCTCAATATGGTTTGTATTTGTCATAAAAACATATTTTCTTTAGATTATCTGGATACATTTGTTTTATCTTATTGATATCACAATGAACTAAATTGTATGTATTATTAATATATTGTAGATTAATATTAACATCAAAATTATCAGATGAATAATCTTGACTTTGAGATGATACAATAGAGTATTTTCCCAACACTTTTTTTCTCGTTACTTCTGTATTCATCGTTTTAATAGGTGTCGTATAAATTGTTGTTGATAACTCTGACTGAAATATAAAAATGAGGTGATTTTATGATTAATTTCATAAATTTTAAAGACAACTTCATTCATTATGTGTTTTCCCTTAATCGAAATGATGAACTGATTAAT